AAGTCGGCTTTGTGCACAATAATATGATATGAATTAATCAGTTTATACTTTTAAAACGTTTTGAAATCAGAACAGTATAGAAATGTAGAACAAAATATATTAATGTTTATATACGTATGGTATATCTTGCCTACGGTTAAGATCGTAGAATAAATTTCAGAAATCGATTCTTCAATGGCTTCCTTTACACTGTATGTAAAAGGAATGGTGACTTCTCTATTTTTTATACTTCTATGGTTTTCCGTTATAAATACATGCATAATATAAGTAAGCTGATGGAAGAATATGCGTACATTAGTTTACATAAAACTCTATAAAATATAGGGAAGTATATAAAATACTCAAATTAGTTCCTTGTAATTATTGATCGGTAGAAACGAATTTTCGTTTAAATATTATTTCTCTACTTATATGAATAAATATGAATCTAAATGAAAACTTGCTGCGTTGTAATGAACAAAGGTAATGTAATTGTAATTGACCAAAAATTATACTGACTAGATAAAAATAATATACATATATTATATATTATATATTCGTTAAAAAAACCTATTTTGGCAACTTTTGAATTACAATATATATTTCTTCTGACACTAATAATTTATTTCTATATTAGAACAAATGTGTTTAAATATTTATTATTTACTATTATAATATTTATTTTTGTTTTACAGCGCATAAATACAGAATAATTTTCACATTTAAACATACTTTAATTGACCATTCCATCATGTAGATAAAAACATCACCAGACAACTATCATATCACTATATTTCTCTGTGATCATAATAGTATATTCGTTCGTATTCTCCCTTAACAATCCTCAGTATGATCGATACATCAACAATCCTCAAATCATCGATCCCATAAATCTTCAATCTTTCATCGATCAGAGCCTCAGGATTCGATTTTGGTCCGATCTTACAAGTTCCACCTGCATGATATAGCGTGTAATGTACATCACACATTTCCAACAATTCCTTTCACTAAATTCAAATTGTCTATAAACAGAAAAATGTTTATCTATTAAACTAAAATTATTCGTTTTAAACTGTTCGTATTCTGTATCATACAATTTTAGAACTGCTTCCACACTTTCCATTAACATGGTCCAAATCAGGATTGCGAATGAAATACCTAGGATAAATTAAATGTGGTCCCCCACAAAGGATCACTTCCGTTCAGTAATATAAATCTCCTGCTTTTGGGCGATAATAACTGTGGTAAAATATGAATAACATTATAAGAGAGAATGGTTCGACATCTCTCTCAATAGCTTCTCATCAGTTATTTAAAAAATTTATAATTCCAAGGAACTGTTTATTAACTCCAAAGAACAACATTTCTGTATATCAGGCACCACTTACGTGCTGCAAGATTATTTTCAAGAAAACAGAACAAGAAGTAGTAGTGGTTACAAATGAACTTCCTTATGTTTCTTCTCATAATAAGAAATATCTCGTGGAAGTAAAATTTATTTAATTACTAAACTACTTGTTGTATGTTTGTTCTTGAAAATTTCTTTCAACTAATAAATTACGAATTACTTTAATGTCATATTTCTTTAACTCTTCCCTTGGAACATTTCCCGAAAGCATGAAAATTTTGGATGAATATATCGATCCAGCTGAGATAATCACTTGTTTTTCAGCAAAAACGGTGTTTAATTTAGTTCCGTTGTTTGTTGAAACATATTCGACGGCTGTTATACGTTTTGTTTTGTAGCCTACAATTTCGTGACGTATGTTTCTGATGATTAAATTCATGCGGAGAACTAAAATGAAAGAAAGTCATGCTGC